GTTACAAATGACAGGAAGGAGGGGGTGAACCACCAAAAGGATCATTGGGTTCAGCTATCAATACCCATTTTGGTTCTCTGGAGTCATTGGTGCAAAAGATAAATGCTGAGGGTGCTGCTTTACAAGGCTCTGGATGGGTGGTAAGTATTTCAGCTTGTTATTGTTATATGTGTTCTTTTGCATGCTTGTGTGTCTGGTCATATATTGGTAGCAAACGTCATCACTAATTTTTAATTATTTTGCATGCTTTCTACCCTCTGTAAGTGGCTTGGAGTGGACAAGGAACTGAAGAAACTTGTGGTTGAGACAACTGCAAACCAGGTATGGTTCCTATTTAGTATAAAGACAACGAGGTCAATTTTTGGATATTTAGTTTTACTAATAGTTTTTTTATTTTTTATTTTTTATTTTTTTATAATAACATTTTACTGCATCTGCTCAGCAGAAAGACTAATTAACAGAAGAGATAATATTCAATATAAGATTGTTAACCCTCACCGTTCTTTCATTGAATTCTTATTGTATCATGAGAAAAAGATCGTTGACCTTTTGTTTTGTATGTGTCTTTGTCTATTTTAGGTGCAGGTCACTAGCACACCATTATATAGAATTGAACTATTGCTAAGTTTACAAACTTATGGCTACATCACTTTGAAAGTTGTATACTCTTAAAATTTAGGAGAAGATAGCTTTGGGTTAACCTTTATATAACTATGAACTCTCTGCTGTAGGATCCACTGGTTACTAAGGGGTCAAATTTGGTTCCTTTGGTTGGAATTGATGTTTGGGAGCATGCATACTACTTGCAGGTAATTTTTCGATGGATGATTTGTGCCGAGTAGTGACACTCATATGTGGTTGTGTTACTTGAAAATGTTAGTAACATTGATTAATGGCTTTATTCATGATCAACCAGCTAATGTCAAAATAGCAATATCCATGTTATTCAATTATCCTCTAATTTGTTTATGGCTCTCAGTCACAATTATGAATTAAGTTTTAAAGACATAAAGATATTGAAAGTTGGTTGCCGCATTTTTGAGTAGTATTAGACGAGGGAAAGAGGTGTTGTCAAAAAAATCTGTAAGTAGATCTTGGGACTGAAAATTTTCCATGGTGGTAAGGGCTTGCCATTAACGAGATAGCTGCTTGCTGATTAGACTCTTGTTTGTTTCTCTTAAAATGCAAAAGTGGCCTTGTTTTTGGAGCGTTGCTCCTTAATTGAAGCCTTCTTCCATTTTGATCAAAACTTGAATTACCATGTTGTCTGGGCAAATGGCATTTGTGGATTGTAAATTAATTTTCAAATTCCCTTTGATGAATGTGTAGATAACTGTTGAATGATAATAGTCACATGATGTTGCTTTTCTGTGAGATTGGAACATGGATATGCAACTTTGAACTAGGAATACATGATTTTTAAGAAAATGCAGTGCATTTAAGCTTGTTTTGGCAGGTCATGGTTGTTTAATTTTCCTTCTTTGCGTGATTTGCATGTCTCGCCTTTTGTGGCTATTGCTACATCAGGGCACATGTGAGGATGGGTGAAAGAGCAGGAATTTTGTTCTTGACCAAGCAT